GCAACCAAAATAACAAGAGCCTTTTTATATTTCAAGAGCCGCACAGCAGTCCTTAAAGAGCCACCGTGTGCAGCTCCGGAGCCGCAGATTGCCAACCCCTGCTCTAAATGGACTCTAGAACTTCCTAAAGTTGAGGCCCTTCTGCCAGCAGTGGCATGAGCAAGCAAATGCAGAGCTGCACCTTTTACCAGAAGAACGGCCTTTGCCATCATGTTTAAAATGAATGCAGAGGAAAGAAGTCCTGCGGCCCGGAGTTGGGCGTGGTAGCGCACGTCCTGTGATCCAGCGCTTTTGGAGATAAGGATTGGTGGTTCACGCAGACATTTGTAACGTTCTCAGACCCCCAATGGGCTGCAAGGCATCTTGGAGAGGGCGATAAACAATCGCGTTTCGTAAATCCATCTGTGCGCGCTGTTGTGCGTTGTACCCTCGTGTGCATGCGTTTCCTCCAGGTACTGTCGATTCCTCCCCACGTGTAAAACATATCTTAAACAGTAATTAGTAAAACGTTCCAACACCGGGCCCTTCTAAGTCTTGAGACTCGGTGAGACTTTCCTTGATAGTTATTATCATCCTATATGGAACACTTCCACCAAGTGTAAATGTATAGCCATTGTTGTCAATCCACTGCTGGATGAGGGCCTCCACCACAGCGTGGGGGTCGTCGGCCATTATTTGGCCACACTTCACGTGGGAGCATAGAACTACAGATCGATGGATTTTCTGCTCTGCCCCCTTTTTGCTGACGACGACGGAACCCCATGCATCGTTTTGGAATTGTATTGTTATCCCCCGTTCCAAACGTCCGTTTGTATGCTAGCTGCATCATTGTCATTGCATGATTTGGCTGTTTTGGTAAAGAACAGGGATGTTCCTCTCCGCTTGGCACGCGCGCGAGCCTCTTGCATGCCGCTGATAGGACGTGCGTGAAGTCCAGGGCTTGCGTCGTCATACACACATTAACCTGACGTATTGTATCGCTCCATGTCTCTTCGCGTCACGCCCTGGAACGGTACGCAGGACCGAAGCCAGCGTTGACCGACGTCCAGGCCGAGTTGGACCGCATGGCGCGCAAGTCCGAATCTACGTCCGTCCTCGCAGCGACCAACTTCGATGACGCCGCCTCCTGAAAAGCAATCCCCTCTCTTGCCGTGCGCACGCTCCTCCAGACCTCTGAACCGTAACCATTGCCTCTCCCCCACCTCGCGTCCTTCCCCGCGACCTGATCTTCGAGCCTTTCCCGAATTTGCTGTCTTAAATGGGTTACTAGGACAACCACTTTTTTCAGAAGATGGAAATAACCTACCTTTGCAACCATGGCGACGTGCCTCTATCATAATGCCTCTTTGCTCCGTCGAAACCCCCCCCCCCCCGCTAATTAAAACGGTCCAGTGTGGCGGGGGTCACTGTGTGGGTGTGTGGGTGCGAGTCACCGTGCTTTATCGGCTAAGAATTTCAGTGGGGTAAGGGGGGGGGGGGCTCAAGTGATGAAGTGAAAGCGGAGGTTCGTTTGTGCTGTTTGATTAAGCTGCGTGTGCAAAGCAGGTCACTTAATTGCACGTTGACACGAGTGGGGGGGGGGGAGGGCATGAGTTTACTACCACCTAGATGTGCGTGTTCGCGTGTATATTCTAACAAACTTGCGTTATGCTTGTCTGTGTTATCGGCTTGTATCATCAAGTTACGCACACGTACGTACGAGCATTTGTACACGAGCATACGAACTCCGAAAATGTTGTTTGCGCACACGCAGTTCAATTCCTTGCAACCGACGACACTGGAGGCGTTTAACTGGTTCCGCGCGCGTGCAAACAAGCGCCCGAGCAGAAAAGCGTTTGCGTCACGCTTGTGAAGGAGCCCTCCGACGGTTTCTAGAGGCTGGGTGCCCAGGGTAGCCATTCCAAGCCATTGCTGTAGCACCAAGTTAGCCGTTGAGCTTGCCGAGTTGCCGCGAAACCCGTGGCCCAAAAAGCACGTGCGCTCCCACGTTTGTCCGTCGAGCGAGCACCTTTGCAGGGCCTCGCCGGGGGAGGGAGTCGACGTTTCAAGGGTGTCTCCCCGTTGCCGATTCGTTGGGCACTGTGTATAAATACATTCAGGGGGGCCTTAGAAGGCAGTCCACTCCATTGACTTGAGAAACGTTTCCAAAAACTGGAGAGATTTAAATACGGTGTATTGGTTTTTTTTTTTCATCTGGTAATAAATTCGGAGGAGAATAATAGAGTGTGTTGTTAGTCTGCTGAAGTGGCCTAATTTGTAGATGAATCAGTGCAAACAGAAGTATTGTTCACATTTGTGAAGTGAGCACACGCTGAAAACTCTATACTGGACTGAATAAATTCCATCGTCGATATTAATGTAAGCCAAGTAATTTGCGACCTCGATTGTGACCTGTACGGTCAAGATACACATTTCAGGATGTCTTCGAAATGTACGTGGGCATATTTCGATTGCCATTGACCCTTGTAATAGCACCAACAGAGAACAGGCCAGCAGTTGACAGAAAATGGCCACTCATCACGTTATTGTAATCAAAAAGGTAAAATTACAAAAAACATTGCATATGACGATGCGAGGTTGAAAAGTCCCTTTGTCTCGGAAATATTGAAAGGCTGAATAAAAATAAATCTCTGAGCCTCCTCCAAAACAACTGTCCATGTTCCCCTTGCCGGGCAGCCAATGAGGAAGAGTGCTTCGGCACCCAATGAGCAGTGCAAATATTTCATCTTGAGTCAATAAATAGGGGCAAATGAAATGCGTTTAATTAATGGAGTGTGGCTGCCTTTGAAAATGTTTAAAAACTCTAAAATACGTGAGTGCTGCGATGTGCATGTCACGAAACTCATGCTGCGATTTTAACTGCGATAAAAAACGTGTTTGTGTGTTTTTTATTTGTGCTTTTTTTCTTGTAATATTTTTTTTGGGGGGGGAATTCCTATCTTGCCCACTTTTAACCCTGAGTCTCCCACCCCACCACCCCACCACCCCAAGACACTTGACCTCTCTCTCTCCCCTACTGCGTGCTCGGCCGTGTATATAGTGAAGCACAAGTTTTATTTAAGTACATCACGTGTGAAGGCGTGTGTAGAGTCTCGGTGCAGAGCACATAGATGCGCTAAGGCTTGTCCTCATAACCCCCCCCCAACTCCTCCCCGCAGCTCTCCTCTGTGCTTTCTAAACCCTCTCGCACTAACCACTCCCCTTCACCATCCACTCGCGACACTCCTTCCAGCACTTTGTCTGCATCGCTGTGTGTGTCAGAACTCCCACATGTAAAGTACACAAGCAGGCTGCTCCATCGACTGGACGTGAAGAAGGAAACACCCCAGCAGTAATAAGAGCATGGAGGAATGGGCTCGCAGAATACAGACGTACAAATAAATAAAGCATTACGACAAACGTCTTCTCGTTGCGCTGCCTTTGCTTGGGTGGGTGTCTGATAGATATTTACCATCGTAAATGCACTTGAATGTTACAATTCGGACCATCGCCCGACTGTGCCAACAACAGCGTCACCACTTGAGAGTTTTATTGGAGTGAAAGTGGGAAGCGCCAATTGCAACCGCCGAGATTTTGGGTTCTAATCCATACTGTGATTAAAACCGGGTTCTCAAGTGTCGTGAGTTGATGGGACATAGCCCAGTCACCAAAGACTGAAATACATCGTGCAATTAAATTAGGTTGCACTTAATTTGGGCAAATGCTTGCTGTGAGAATTGAAATGATTGGTTTATCACGTGATTAACATTGCTCTTGAATGGCAGGACAGGTAGGAAAGTGCTGCCCCCTACTTAATGGGGCAGGCCACTTAAAGGAATCGCAAGTAGTTATGTGAAATCTACTTCCACGGACCATTCTCTAACGTGGAGGGTTGCCCTTGTTTGCGAGAGGCTAATAGCTGCTTCAAATTATATGACATGAGCTAATAACACAATTTGATGCAAAGTATTCAATTGGAAGTTAGTGCTTGAAACAAAGCTTAGTTTCAACGTTTCTTCTTTACACCAAAGCAGCAGTGAAGAACCTTTTCCTTCCCGAGGGCCACAGGACTTTCAAAAACCTTTGGCAGGCCACACAAGTTGACAAACCATTGGTCATGCTCTGACTGCATGCATTATTGATCGTGGTGTATAACGACTGATTGAGTGCTTGTATGAAACGGTGTCGCCAGGTCAAAAACGTTAATGTTAAGTAACCTTGTCAAGCAGGGTCGCGTATTATGCAATAGACACTGCCTTGGGCCTACGGAAACTAAACGGCCTACGAAAAAAAACTTGACCATGGTTTTTTTTTGAATGAAAAGAAATTAACCAAGATATCTTCTTGAATACATATACTTACATAGCAAAGATGGGCACAGCGTTTCAATTTAAATCTGCTTATCTGCAGCACAGCGCACTCCCATAGAATGAAGGCGCAGACTAATGAAAACAACACGACGATGTCAGTAGCGACATCTGTCCAGCGGCTGGACAAAAGTACCGCGTGAAACAAGCGGAGTGACCACGGCAGCACTCGTGACATGGGGCAGCAGGATCAACTGTAGAGAGTTGTCACTGAAGGCCTTGCGAAACAGAAGTGCCTAGGGCCTACAAGAACATTAATCCGGCCCTGGCCGTCGGTGCGCCTAAGATGCGCGCCGCGGCGTTTAAATGCGGTCTTGTGTGGACATGGGCCGTGTGAAATCAGAAAGTTTATCCTGGAGAAATCCGATGAGCTATGAGGTTCTTAATCTAGATTTGAAGTTTTCGTCACTGCAGGGATCCATACTCTTTGTTTCTTTCGGCAAAGTCACGTGGGTATAAAATAAATGAAATCACGACGTTTCAGTTGCAAAACCAAGCAATCATCAGATGGGAAAACCACAGCAAGTCTTTTTGTTTTGCTGTGTTTTTCCCACCTGATGATGATTGCTTATGTTTGATGCCCAAATTAAGTTAATGGCCAGAGGTTACCCCCCCCCCCCCAACTAATGAATTGTACCCGCGGACAATTCCGACAAAGGTTTGTTGATTGTTTTTACTTTATATTTACATGGCAACAAAACATTACCGAGCGGATAAGATCACTACCGCGTTGCGTAATCCCAAGCTTAGTGTAGCGGCAATTCTCTGTGGACGCAGACAACGACCACATTGCTTAATCGGACAGCACTTTCCAAAAAGCTTTGTGAACCGATTACTAATTAATCATTCTTGGCATCATCACTTTTTTAGGTTTCTCATTTAAAACATAAATGTCCCTCGAGTTTATAAGAGTGTACGTTTCATCTTCCAATCTGAAACCCTTGACAGCCCAGTTGTGTACGTTTCATACCACTCTCCCATGGGTAAGAAACAGTCGTGTATACACATCTCCACTTACAGCTATTACCTATTGGTATATGGATTTAAACACAACCACTTAGAGCGAATAACTATTTGGCCCTACTGCGCAACATGGTGCACTGCAAACACAAAACGGTGCCTGTGAGTTTCAATTGCGTTATGGATTTTTCAGCCTCTTGATACAATTGCCCAGAGTGTGCCCGATCTCGGAAGTAATGCAGAGTGGAGCCAGGATGGTGCCAGAACGTTGCAGGCTGTGTGTGGGACTGCACTGCCGGTAGTGGGCAATGCAGCAAAACCACAAATTATTGAATCTTGATTTGAAGCTTTTCGTGACTGCAGGAATCCACACTCTTTGGTTCTTTCGGTAAGTCACGTAGATAGAAAATTAATAGATCACGACGTTTCGATCGCAACACAAGCAACCGTCATCAGGTGAGACAAACACAGCAGGAGAACTGCTCCTGCGTCAGAACCAGAGTACACACATTATTGGTTTGATGACGCTACAAATCTTCATCAACCAGCAGTGGTTTCCCACCTCCCCCCCCCCCCAAAAAAAGGGGGTGTGGAGGGCTGTACATGGTATGGATATTGAAAAGTTAAATTCATAAAAAGATAACGGGGGGGGGGGGCCCTGGGGGGGAGGGGGCCTCTCGGAGTCAGCCAAAGGTCTCCTGCGATGCGTAGGCAATGTAGAGAAACCCGTCGGCGTCGCGCTGCTGCTCGTACAGCTGCGACAGGGGCACGCTGGCGCTCGCGATGCTGCGCTGGTTCACCAGCAGGAAGAACGCCTGGCCCGGGTCCAGCTCAAGACGGCGCCTGGTAACGGCAATGGGTGGAGGGGGTTAAAAGGGTGAGCGGGGGGGGGGAGAGAGAGACCGTCGCAATCTACTGGACGTCTGTGGAAAATAACTTTATAGCTCATCGGATTCCTCCAGTGTAAATACGTATTCTGAATCCCCGTGCCAACTGTTGGGAGACACTCTTGATAGAAAAGCGATCTCTGACTGATGTGGTCCTTGGAGTTCACATTACTTGAATTGCAATTGGGATCATTTACTATTGGTAGACAAAACCCATGTTCACGCATGTGCCATTTTTATCAATCTACTGTTGGATGGGAGACTCTCCCCAGCACGCGGGTAGTTATTTCATCATACTTCACGCTGGTTAGCACGGGTTGGTGAAGGCGGGCAGCGTAGATGTGGGAGCATAAAAGTGCAGTACAACGGACTTTGCGACACTGCTGTCTGCCGCAGCCTCAAAGTCTCTAAAAATCCCGTGACACATGGTGATCACCGATCCAAGCATCTGAAGAAATCAGGCACATTCCAGGTGCTTCGGACAAAACTATTATATTTTTCAGCTTAATGTGTTATATTACATTAATTAATCACTTGATTTACAAAGGGTGCGCATTCCCCCCCCTCCTTCCTTTCACACCCCCCCACCCTCCCAACAAATACAATAACCAATTTGTCTTCAAAAAGAGCCTACGCCATTATGTAGTAACGATCGTTCATCAGATTTAATTGGAGCTGTAATCAAGACTCGTTAGATGGACATTGGTGGATAATTGATCTCCGTGTGATAAAATTGCTCATTGTGTGTGTCAACACTGCTGGCTGAATGGCATCCTATTGGGCCCTCCATGCAAACAATTCATTTGCACGTGAACACTGACTCTGTTCAAATTAAAAGTGGACTGGGCACGGGCTTGGCAGCCGAGGTAAGTGAGCAACAATCAATTGGCTTCAGCGGCCATCAGCCGTGCACCGTGTTTAAATTTCAGAGACATAATTGCTGCGCTGGGTTTGTCTTTGCATTTGCATTAATGCATTGCTGATTGGGCACTTCACACCAAATGTTTGAAGCCCGTCAAACCAAAGTGTGATCATTGCTGTGGAGTTGCGTTTGGTGAAATGATAGGCGGCAGTACGGTACAACTCCTTGCATGATGTGCGTATCGACGCTAATTGGGAAGCTGTGACTGATTTTAAACAAGCGCTTTACTGCGTATTGTTCGTGCGGTATCACTTAAACTGACAAACTTTGCGATAAATCTTCATTTTCATTTAAAGCTTTCGTGACTGCAGGGATTCATATTATTGGTTCTTTCGGTAAAGTCACGTAGAAGGGAAACGATAATATAATAAAAAATAAAAAAACGCCACTTTTTTCAAATTTTCTTGCTGTGGTTTTCACACCTGATGATGATTGCTTGTGTTGCAGTCGAAACGTCGTGACAATTTTATTGTTTAATATTTTTATTATTTTATTGTTTCCCTTCTACGTGACTTTACCAAAAGAACCATAAATAGAAATCTTCATGTTTATCATCTCCCCCGTGTGATTTAAGTTCACACCCATCCAAGAGGCATGAACCATCACACCCGGACAACGTTTGTGTGAAATTTTTTATTTCAATATATTTTTGTTGTAATTCCCCCCCCCCCCCATTTCATCCCAACCACGATATTGACATCGTGTCAGGAGATGAAAAACTCATTTCAAATCTCTCGCTAGAGCAGTGACACTCTTTGTGTTCCAAGAACGATCGGGCTAGAATGGTGGGCCGACGAGTCATTCTGTCGAGCTCCCTTGCTCCAACACGAACGATAGAAATGAATCAATTAATTCAGTAAAGATGTATTCGACAATTTATTTTTGGTAATCGAGCCCCCCCCCTTTAAAAATGGGAGTCTCCAAAGGCAGGAAACCCCCTACAAGCCACGCCCAGCACAGATGGGATAAGAGGTGAGACTCTCCCCCCCCCCCCACCTATCGTTGTGTTATCCGATTAGCTGAGTAATAAAACTGATCATCAGTAATGAATTACTAAATCGTATAGCTCAGCTACGGAGAACCGCCCACAAAATATCACAGAGCTACATCATAGATCACATCCAGCAGGGGGCAGCACTTTCCCACCTGATCTGTCATGTTTGTCACGTGACAGTAAACCAAATCTTGTTAATTTAAAAGCTGTATTTCAGTCAGATTCAATGTAGAACCAAATTTAACATGATTTTTTCGTGTGTGCAGTCGTTTGTTGATTAGGCCGGGACGATAAACTTACCACACATGACAACCCAGTTATAATCACTGAATTCGAATCCAGGATCTCAGCTGCTCTAGCCCGCCACTCTCTGAGCCACATGGCCAACTCTAAATTAAGTGGCTTTCCAGCAGCAGACTCGTGGACCAATGTGCAAAATAGAATACCTTTACTCTATAATGCCTCTCACATTAAATGTGATACGGTCATTGCTGCCTGAGACCCAGCATCTCTGAGACCATGCTTGTGCGAGTCTGTGACTGTGTGCTGGATTGTTGAATACCGTGCTAGAACGCCGTGCGACTGATTCCGAGGTGAGGTGGTGGTGAACAGCTGCAAGGGTAAGAGGCAGCGAGGGCTGCGCACGCCGCGATGAGAATACGGATACCAACCGGAGGATCTTAACCAGCTCGCTCATGTTGACGTGATCTGGCACCAGGAACTTGGTCTTGTCCAGCTTGGGCAGATGCTTCTCACCCTTGCAACGCTCGATGATGACCTGCGACCGCACACGGAGAGGGTTCGTCAGCCTCGGTGCATCATACGCGGGCGACCACGCCGTGTGAACAAACGGACACCAGCGTGTACAGACTGTAATTGAAGATAATGACTTGATTTAACGTCTTGGCGATGCCGACGGGTCGGCACTCGCTGGAAGTCCACTCATGGCGAATCTCCAAGCGTTGATGGTTTCCGGCCAAGTCTGTCAGCGTCTGGTAACGTGAGGCCCAGATCCAAGTAATCTTCCATTATGTTAAAACATTTCTCCCTTGGGTAACTGCTAGTCTGTGACCCTCTGATATTGCTGTGGGGAGCCTTCAGAAGTCTTTGTGCCCATCCTTGACCACGTGTCTGAATAAAAGATAGCCACCTCTGCTGAACAATGACTGATGCGTTTATCTTCTCTCAACCCCTTTTTAAAATATGAATATTCTCTTGTCTCTTCATTCGATTGGCCTGAATGTATAATGCGTACTATCATTTATATATAATTTGCATGAACTGTATATAACCAGCTCTTGCCTGCACGATTCAAAGCAAACATGCGATGAGAGATATACATGAGGCCTTTTATCTCTTGTAAGAGAACAGTTTCGCGATTTTGGACGTACATTTCAGACACTTCAAATATAATGGGTAATTATTAGTATAATTATGAAGCGGCTTTTGACTTGAGCAACGTATGCCAACCACTTGGGATGGAAATTCAGATTAGAAATAGCATTTCGACCATGCTTGGTAAGAGAGGAATCAGAAAACGCCGCGGTGTCAGATGGTGATGAAGGTGCATTTATGTTTTTACTTATTCCATACAAACGTTTCATTTGGAAAATTTCTTATTAGAATTGTTTAGAAACATTGAATTTTTCTGTTTATCACGGTTGCTAAGCTCATCATGCCAAATGGCCAGCAACAAACAGCACCATAGAAGGTGTTTTTGATGAGAGTTAATCTGTAAACGATGAGAGTTCAAAATTGGAAAAAGTCATGGCGGGTGGGAATTCCAAAGACGAGCTGTGTGAGGACAGATGCATACAGATAGTCCCCGAGTTACGATGGTCCGACTTACGATATCTCGATCTTACGATGGCGATAGCGATACGACAAAATTGTAAAATACATCTTTTAAATTTCGCACGACAGGCAAACGCAGCAGCGTACGAGGTACGATACTTGTACGTTGGGACGCTGCCGGGATGTACGCATCTCCCGCCTTGCGTGGTGATGCCTCACTCTCACCAGCGGTCGACGGAGTGAAGTTGTCTCGGTGTTAGCTTTCTATTAAGTTGTCTCGGTGTTAACTTTCTATGAAATTGCAGTTCATATAGGTCGGCTAAGAATTTACCCTGTTTTTTTTACTTTATATTTTACTGTGCAATACAGTATTGTAATTAATAAATACATACAGTGTATAGTTCATACAGTACGGTACTGTAAATTTCTCTGTTTTGCTAAATTATCATCATTCTTTAAGACTCCTGGGTAGGCTAGCCCATCTTCGACTTACGATATTTTTAACTTACGATGGGATCGTCATAACGCATCTCCATCGTAAGTAGAGGACTACCTGTACATCGAAGTGTTTTGATCTGAGTCTTGACCAAGACCGAATCCTTCAACATGGGTGGAGGAATACATTTAGTGAAGCTTATGGGAACATCAACCATTTTTTTCTCTTTCTTAAAATATTTACACCGTAGTAGCAATAGATGAATAACAACTGGCAACCGGTGAGTGAGCAAATTTGGTGAATCATTTGAGTGCCGGATCAACAATCAACTTTGACAGCTTTACATTGAAACCCCAATTAGGTTTCAAAATGTAAGTGCCCGGTAGTGTAAATCAGTACGCGTTTGTGGAGGCTACGCGGAGATGAAACGAGCGTTCCAAAACGCTCTCTTGACGAGAAAATCACTCACGGGTATCTTGTTGGTGTGCAGAGCGCGGATCTGGGTGGAGTCTGCGATGCGCTCCTCTGAAAGACAACCATGCCCCATGGAGCAGTTATTGCAGCAGTTACGCAAAGAGATCCACGTTCACAGCACTGTATAATAAGTATGCAATGACATTAACTCGCCAGTTATTCTATGAACTGTCAGCATTCATTCATGGATTTCTGGTTGTTTTTATGCGAGTCGCATGAATTGACGGATGCTGCCATGGTGTGATGGTATAAGCACACTGGACTTGCAATCCAGACGTGGCCGGTCACAATATCTCCTGGCAAAAATCCTCCGCCCCTTTCCACCCAGCAGTATTAAATGGGCACACCACAGCTGGTATATCGGCAGCTTGTGCACGTCGGGTGTCAAGTGTGGGTAATTTAACCTTCCTGCCAAGACATCTGGCCGCGTGGAAGAGTACGGTAAGCCCAAATAACTGCGAGAGAGGTTAAATAGAGTGGACCTTCTGCCAGCAGTTGAGTAATTTCAGGGCATCACCTTTATCGTTTATGTGAATAAAAAAGTATCCATCCTCACACGCCAGATTCTACGCATGTGTAATAAGTGTATCATAACAATCAACACATTCATCTAAAAAGCAACGCGCCATCATTATTTAGGGTCTTGATTAAAGAGATTCAAGAATCAATTATTTTATCTCGACTGTGGTGAATGTTTAGCTCCTATTGGCTGCCGGTCTTTATCACCAGGAGACCGATTCACTGCTGAATGAAGGTCTGGGAAAGCTATTTTCATCCCTCACGCTCTTGTGATGATCACGATCCATCTCGGCACATAACTTGAGATCGTCGCTCCTTCTCCGTGGCCATCGTCCTCGCAAGTCTGTTCTCCCATATGTTGCCGTTCCACGAGCAGTATTAACCGCCCTAACCCACTTTCCACAATAGTTAACATTCTGTATATGGTGTATTTAATTTGCGTGTGTTCTGTGATCAATATTTTCCTCTTTGGCTCTCGGTGTAATTCCAAGCAATACAACTCTCCATGATTATTTTTTGCCCACTTTCAAGTATGTCATTGCAGGTAATATGCATTTAAACTTTTCTCTGAATGCACGTGAATTGTAAAAATGTTACCTTCCAAAACCACTATCGCTCTGTTGCTGACCTCCATATGTCTCCCTCTTTCAATCGCCACAAACATGGTTACCGTTCCCGTCACCTTCACTCATTGATCCGATTAGCACGCTTGGCTACGACGTACAGTGCAAAAGAAATTAAACTTTCATACAAACGTTCCTACAAACATGTTGAGAGCTCAGTCTGAGCAGACTGACCGTGTGGCCTCATCCGTACTGTGCTCAACCACAGGTCAAAACACCTCTCCTACTGCTTCTTCTCTCCTTGCACTTCTGGACCTTTGGAATTTCCCAAGTTTTCATAACCTCGGTCAATTCAATAAATGTTATTTGTTGCGAGCTTGCCCGGCGTGTTTGAGCCTTTGTTGCCAATAACGGCACGCGTCAGGATGACGCGAATGGGAAGTGAAAACATTTGTGAATTAACAAAAACAACAAAATAGGCGCATGACTCAGCCTAGCAATGCTCACCCCGACTTCATGAAGCTCATTGTCATGGTCAATTGGTCATCCGGCCAAAGCCACTGATGCCACCGCGTGAACCTTCAGCTAAATCCCAATCTGATCTCCAAGGTCTCCTCTTCTTACGTGTCATCGTCATCATCGAGATTTCCAGTTTTTTTTTTCTTTTTGTTACACACTGGTCGACATGTCCAGCAAGGTTCGTCACCGCCGTCGTCACCACCACAATCTGGCTTGAGGTCTACTTGTCACACATCTGACACGTCCTTCAAGGACCGCTCTCACAGTGGCTTCTCCTCTTGGTCGACACTTCTGTAGGTTGATTTGCAATCGGTTGATTTGCAATTGCAGGAAACCGTAATTATTTTTTTAAAATATCCAGTTTACCGCACGTATAGAAGAGTTTGACAATAACCACGACTATTTATGGTTTTTTTCAACTGAAAATTTTAAGGCAAACGAGCCAAGCGGTGACGTTGGCAACGTGCCAACTCGGCGCATCCAATTATGAAAGTTCCACTGCAGACGGTTACCGGTTCCTGACTTTCGTAACCGGTTACCGGTGGTGTGCGTGATACACGCACACACACACTACACACACACACTTGTGTGTAGTGTGTGTGTGATACACACGTGTGTAGTGTGTGTGTGACACACACTTGTGTAGTGTGTGATACACACTTGTGTAGTGTGTGTGTGATACACACTTGTGTAGTGTGTGATACACACTTGTGTAGTGTGTGTGTGTGATACACACTTGTGTAGTGTGTGATACACACTTGTGTAGTGTGTGTGTGTGTGATACACACTTGTGTAGTGTGTGTGTGTGATACACACTTGTGTAGTGTGTGATACACACGTGTGTAGTGTGTGTGTGTGATACACACGTGTGTAGTGTGTGTGTGATACACACGTGTGTAGTGTGTGTGTGTGTGATACACACGTGTGTAGTGTGTGTGTGTGATACACACTTGTGTAGTGTGTGTGTGATACACACGTGTGTAGTGTGTGTGTGACACACACTTGTGTAGTGTGTGTGATACACACGTGTGTAGTGTGTGTGACACACACTTGTGTAGTGTGTGATACACACGTGTGTAGTGTGTGTGTGACACACACTTGTGTAGTGTGTGTGATACACACTCGTGTAGTGTGTGTGTGTGATACACACTTGTGTAGTGTGTGTGTGATACACACGTGTGTAGTGTGTGTGTGATACACACGTGTGTAGTGTGTGTGTGTGATACACACGTGTGTAGTGTGTGTGTGTGATACACACGTGTGTAGTGTGTGTGTGTGATACACACGTGTGTAGTGTGTGTGTGACACACACTTGTGTAGTGTGTGATACACACGTGTGTAGTGTGTGTGTGATACACACGTGTGTAGTGTGTGTGTGATACACACGTGTGTAGTGTGTGTGTGTGATACACACTTGTGTAGTGTGTGTGTGATACACACGTGGTAGTTGTACACTTGTGTAGTGTTGTGTGACACACACTTGTGTAGTGTGTGTGTGTGACACACACTTGTGTAGTGTGTACATGTGTCACTCCACTGCTGGATTGTGGTTATTTCACCATACTTCACCGCGCTGGTCGTAACGGATTCGTGAACCTCGAGTATGATTTATTGTGAATACACTGCTGCTGCTACTGCTGGCTGCTGCATCAACAACAAACCACGCAGAAACCCGAAGCAGAACCATAAATACGCCGTGCTTCGAGTCTTTAACAACAAAACAAAACTCGGACTTAAAACTCGCGTGGCGATTTGAACCGCAGGACAATGATGGAGAGGCAACCGATGTCACAATACGGTTTACTGATTTACACTCGTGCTCTGCACCATCCAGCCGCCAGCGACGGCTGTGGGTGGTGATGATGCAGATGATGGTGATGATGATGCAGATGATGGTGATGATGGGAGACGAGCATGGCCTGTGGATGGTGGTGATGGTGGAGGTGGTGATGGTGATGATGATGGAGATGATGGTGATGGTGATTGATGATGAGAGACGATCATGGTCTGTGGGTGGTGATGATGATGATTGAGATTATGGTGATGATGATGGTGATGATGATGAGATGATGATGGTGATGATGGTGATGATTATGGAGATGATAATGGTGATGATTATGGAGATGATGATGAGAGACGATCATGGCCTGTGGGTGGTGGTGGTGATGATGGAGATGGTGATGGTGATGATCATGACCTGCGGATGACACGACGAGAGTGCGTGAGAGACAAGCGCGGCACAAGCTCACCGAGGCTCCGCGTCTCCTTGAACGAGAGCGATCCGGCCATCGTTGTTTGTCTGCTCCCTCCACCTCCTCCACCTCCACCCGACAAGGACGAGGCGAAGGGGAAGCCCCGAGGCAGCAAGAGGAGGGCGGTAGGGAGGGAGGAGACGTGGTGGCGACTACCCCACAACAACACGAAGACCCCCAGAGCCGTGGAATGTCACCGCGGGTGGTTGTGACGGGTGGCGGAGCGCGATTTCACATTCAACAAGGCAGACGACAGATACACACCACACCACACACAACACCACACACAACACACACCACACCACACACAACACCACACCCCACCACACCACACACACCACACACACACAACACCACACACCCACACTACACACACAACACCACACACAACACCACACACACACACACACAACACTACCGCACACACACCACCACCACACACACCACACACACCACAACACCACACACATTACACAACACCACACACATTACACAACACCACACACACAACACCACACACATTACACAACACTACACCACACACAACACCACACACACAACACACACACACACATCACACACAACACCACACACATTACACAACACCACACCACACACAACACCACACACATTACACAACACCACACACATTACACAACACCACACCACACAACACTACACACATTACACCACACACACACACCACACGTTACACAACACCACACACACACACAACACTACACACACCACCACACACACACACAACACCACACACACAACACCACACCAGACACAACACCACACACACAACACTACACACACCACCACACACACCACACACACACACACAACACTACACACACCACCACACACACCACCACACAACACCCCACCACACACAACACACACACACACACCACACACACCACAACACCACACACACACCACACACATTACACAACACCACACCACACACATTACACAACACCACACACACAACACCACACCACACACACACACACACACACAACACCACACCACACACACAACACCACACACACACACCACCACACACACACAACACTACACACACACCACCACACACACACCACCATAAACACAATACCACACACACACACAACACCACACACACCACACCACAACACCACACACCACATCACACAACACACACACACCACCACACACAACACCACACCACACACACACTACACACACACCACCACACACACAACACCAGACATACAACAACACACACACACCACACCACACACCCACACACCACACACACCATAGCTCCTTATCGATACATTAACATTGTGTCGGGGGTGCGTGCAGCGCCTGTGAAGGTCGCCACGGTGGGACCCGGGGGCGTTTGGGTTGGACAGCGCCACACACCACGCCCGGCCGCCTTTGTCTCTCTACTAGCGGCGATGTTTACACACCGAACAGGGTGTTCCACCCCATTTATAACTTGCGGATAATAGGATCCAACTACCGTATGTTGGTGTTCCACCCCATTTATAACTTGCGGATAATAGGATCCAACTACTGTATGTTGGTGTTCCACCCATTTATAACTTGCGGATAATAGGATCCAACTACTGTATGTTGGTGTTCCACCTCATTTATAACTTGCGGATAATAGGATCCAACTACTGTATGTTGGTGTTCCACCCCATTTATAACTTGCGGATAATAGGATCCAACTACTGTATGTTGGTGTTCCACCCCATTTATAACTTGTTGGTGTTCCACCCCATTTATAACTTGCGGATAATAGGATCCAACTACTGTATGTTGGTGTTCCACCCCATTTATAACTTGTGGATAATAGGATCCAACTACTGTATGTTGGTGTTCCACCCCATTTATAACTTGCGGATAATAGGATCAAACTACTGTATGTTGGTGTTCCACCCCATTTATAACTGCGGATAATAGGATCAAACTACTGTATGTTGGTGTTCCACCCCATTTATAACTGCGGATAATAGGATCCAACTACTGTATGTTGGTGTTCCACCCCATTCATAACTTGTGGATAATAGGATCCAACTACTGTATGTTGGTGTTCCACCCCATTTATAACTTGCGGATAATAGGATCCAACTACTGTATGTTGGTGTTCCACCCCATTTATAACTTGCGGATAATAGGATCAAACTATGTTGGTGCTCTCTCCCCTCCACCCCATTGAAAACTGCGGATAAGAGGAGAGTTACGTACCAAAGGAGATTGGACTCGGTAATCGATGATCGTGTTTGTATTGTAGTACAGAGTTAATGAAAAAAGTGTGTACTGTGTTCTAGGTTTGTCAACTTTATTTCGTCTTGTTTGTCACTGCCCGTGGTGTGTTTAGGTTTTGACTATCTCGTAATGCCACGTATGTATCGTATACACCGTGTAGTATACCGTCTATCGTATGCAGTCTTTCTTTGTACTATCTAGCACACTTTATATACCGGTTGTACTGCACATATATGCTCTCCACCTTCACCTGCCGGGCAGCATTGACCAACGTGGTGAAGTATGGTCACGCGAACCGGCCGCCATCCACATGGCGTGGCAGGAGGCCTTCATCCAGCAGTTGATTGACGAAAGGGATATTCATATATGCAGTACATGAATGAATTAGCGCGGTTATCTATGTATGTCATCCCACAAATACCAACAATACAGCATATAATTATACACCAACTACCCGTCAATCAAACGTGATTTCACGTCCTGTAATTAATTTTAATTGCATGAAGTGGTAACGGTACGGGGTTCAAAATTGTCTTCTTTTGCTCGAACGGGAATTAATGCTTACGTGGTTGGAGGTGGGTGAGGGGGGGGTATGGATGCCTTCATCCAGCAGTGGATAGGTCATGGCTAATGTTGTTGATGAGGACGAAGCGCCACGTGGCCGCGATGCGGTGCTCATAAGCGCCGCGTCCCCGAGGGCGTCCGTGTGCCTCGTTAGCGCAGTAGGTAGCGCGTCAGTCTCATAATCTGAAGGTCGTGAGTTCGATCCTCACACGGGGCATCGAATTTTTATTTTATTTTTTGCATTAGTCACAATGGACATGGTGATGCAGATGTCTTGTAACTCCCCCCCCCTCCGCCCCCCCCCCCAATTAATTGGCCCCAAACATTTTTTTACCCTTTGCATATCGATGTCTGCTTTAAATAAAGCGTACTTGAAACATTACGTTTTTTAGGAATTAAATGGGGGGGGGGTCACAAGTCACCTGGGCCAGCCCTTTATAGCCGACAATTATATGTGAGCAAATTTTTCAATGCTAAAACCATTTTCGTTTAACTACTGTAATGGTGTTGACCTCCATGATCAAATCATCCCGAATTAATGAATGGACTACTGACATGCATCAAAGGTGCTATAGGCTCCCAGGGCAGTCTCGCGCAGCGGAGGGTTTTAACGTCCATTGTATTGCCGAGTACTTCTATGTTCACTCGTATTTGCTTTCCGCCTTCAGCAACGTGCAATGACCAGCGTGGTGAAGTATGGCTCAAACGACCTACACGGTGTTGCAAGAGGCCCTCATCCAGCAGTGGATTGGACAAATGGACTGTACCTGTCAACCCCTTATCAGTGCCCCTACCTTATTACAGACCAATTCAGACCTTATTGGTCACCCCGTGCCCCTTATAAATCGCAACGTTGATCCCACAAAGTCCTATGACAAGGGAGAAACACAAATAGACAAAAACACATTTTTTTGCTGGTATTGAAACGTATGGACCTGAAAACTCAATTTCCCTGTACAAGAATACGGGGTGAACCCTATGGGTTGAAAGGCATGCGAGTATGATACTTTATTGTCAGAAAGATCATCTTTAATTAAACGAGGAATCTTGTGCAGCTCCTTTTTAACAGATGTCCAGTTTGGTGCGGGTCAGCAAGTTATAATGGTGTCAGATTCTCACGGTTGTACGGTGTATATAAGTGTTGGACATTACACCTTATGTTGAGAGGGAATTTGGAGAACTCAAGTACCACAGAACATACTGTATACACCGCTGGCCAGAACTTGTCAAACCAGATTTTTGTTGTCATGTATCTTGTGTCCACGGGGTTGTGTACATCATTATGAACATTAGCCCATCACCATTACACCACAGCCCACTGCGTTTGAGCAATAGCTTTTATTTTATGCTGGCGGTGGTGTTACTGCAAATGTAAAATATTCTTCTCTTGAATTCGTCAATAATCTCCTAATTAACAACCAAGCGACTTATCATAACAACCTCATTCGCAAGGGAGACTTACACAAAAAATACAGTGAAACGAGTCGAGGGCTCTCATCACAAGGACTTGAGCCACACTGACACCTAGTGTTTGAGAACGTCACATACAAGAATGAGGTTTATATATCGGCGAATTCAAGAGGACCATGGGGACCTTTATGCCTTTTGGCGTTGTTCTCTGGTCCCACACTGCTGAGACTAGGCCCTGAAGAAGGCTGTCTCTGGTGTAGGCCAAACATTTGAAAAAAACAATGCATATATTGTATCAGAGCATGTTTTTGTTTGCATGTTCCCCACAAGTACGTGTGGTTAATGCAGACTTCATTCCTTGTAAAATGTTTCTCTTTGGCATTTGAACATCAACGCTTGTTTTATTCCCACATGGGGTAAAACCTATTCTTATTTTTTCATACTCAAGAGGATCATGTTTGAAACCTCAGTGGGATTCCCTCCCCATGGCTCTTTTAATTAAATATATCCTACAACGTGTGGCATGTCTAGTTAATCCACCACTAAATGAGGGCCTTTTGTTAATCCACTGCTAAATGAGGGGTTTCCCCCACGCCCATCGGACGGTCGTGGGAGTTGGTTGACCAAAGTTAATCAGAATCAATATAATTATTGATACTGGACGAATCCGATGAGCTATCAAGCAATTTTTTTACAGATATCTAGTAGGGGCGGATCAGAACGTTACGGGACTTTGTAGGATGAATGTTGAGAAGGTCTGAATTGGTCTGGAATAAGTGAGGGGTATGGAGTTGGCAGGCAGGTGACATGAACATAAAGTGTTGGCTGTTTTTGTGTGTATATTCTTAGTTTTTTCGGTAAAGTCACGTTGAAGAGAAACAACAAAATAGAATATTTTAAATCGGGGGATGTGCATCAGCATCATCACCATACCTGTCACCCCATACGGTTCACCCCGTATTCTTGTACAGGGAAATTGAGTTTTCGGGTTCATACGGCGTACAGCAGTTTCAATACGGGGGAGATTAAAAAAATGTGTTTGATCTATTTGTTTGTGTTTCTCCCTTGTGATGGGACTTTGTAGGATGAACGTTGAGATTTATAAGGGGCACGGGGTGACAAATAAGGTCGGAATTGGTCTGTAATAAGCTAGGGCACAGGTATGAGCTTAAGTGCAGCAATACAGAAAAAATCCAATCTGTAAATGAAATAATAACCCATGGTTAATCCACTGCTGGATGAATGCCCTCACCAATGTATGTTGTACTTCTTTCGCACCGTACGTAGCTATGCGATGTAACAACGGTCAACAACTCCTGCAAAGGGAACTTCATCTCATTGCTCCATCTGCACGGTTATGTTATTTAATCATTCATAATTATAGCGTATTGCCGTTAAGTGTTACTTATATTTCTGATTTTGTTTATAAGCCAACGGAGATAATGCATATTAAAGATAATATATACACGCACTGTATAAAGTAATGACATAGTTGCTTGCATTTTTTTTCACTTAAATTTGTAAGAATGATTCAAGGAATGTGTAACCAGGGAACACATTAATTTTTATGTTGCTAAATTAATCCTCGATACCGCAATTTGGACAAGTCTGTATCAAAAAGGTGGTGTGAGGTAATAGATAAACAAAAATTTACACTTTACTACGTTTTGATTTAAATGCTTTCGTGACTGCAGGGATTCATGTTCTTGGTTCTTTCGGTAAAGTCACGTAGAAGGGAAACAATAAAATAATAAAAATGTTTTTATAAAAATATATTTTTATCAAAATATTTTTAGAAAAATATATTTTTATTATTTTTATTGTTTCCCTTCTATGTGACTTTACCGAAAGAACCAAGAATATACTTTACTACGTTATCGAATACGCATTGTATACGTGTAATTAGATTTACAATACATGTGCAGTAATGTTTGTTTCATTGGAAATTACGCAAATTTGTGAGCGTTTCAGACATATCAGAAATCCCTCCTTGACCAACAATAATAAACCATTGCATTCAATTCCTTGACAACGCTGATTAAAATTGTAGATTTTTTTAAATCTTGACTTAAAGCTTTCGTGACTGCAGGAATTCTTAATTATTTTGGGTCACGTAAATAGTTTTAAGAGAAAATAACCAAAATTCCCCCCAAAAAACTACGACGTTTCGATTCGCAACACAAGCGGTCGTCATCAGGACAACTGCTTATAAAGGTTTGAAATGGGCGTAGCCCAAATGTCAAGCAGCCAATGTGAATGTCAGTGCTGGGCAGCGATTGGTGGGTTTTCCACCAATCAAAGGACTGTCAGCTAAAAATTAGCATGTTAGCGTAAAAGATCGCCGAGCATCCTCCACGGCTAGCGCGCCAAGGTGGCTATGTTAATGTGAGAGATTAGCATGTTGAAAGCGATAGGATTAATCGATTCTGAGGTAAAACTATAATACAAATACACACCTGATGACGACCGTTTGTGTTATGGTCGAAACGTCGTGAGAATTTTTATTGTTTTATATATATTTATTATTTTATTGTTTCCCTTCGACGTGACTTTACCGAAAGAGCTAAGAATATGAATTACTGCAGTTACGAAAGCTTTAAATCAAAATTGAAAATACATTTTTATTAAGGGGCCGTCCATTAATTACGTCACGCGATTTTGGACGAAAAGTCAGACCCCCCCCCCCCTCAAATATGACGTCACAAAGCTCTGCTCCCCCCCCCAAAATACAACATGCTTCAAATCGCTTTAAACTACTGTCATTGTAGTGCGTATTTAATGTGCCGCTGCACTCTGATATTGTAGGAGAAAACATTTATTAAAAAGTTTATTTAATGAAATAGAACGTGTTGTCTATATTTATTTAAAGTTGCGCATTTTGATGTGACGTCACATTTCTCAAACCCCCCCCCGCTCGTCACACATCGTCACATGTCTGACCCCCCCCCCCCCAGGTGCGTGACGTCATTTATGGACGGCCCTTAAGTCATACCTGAGTTATTTAGACTCGATTCTCATATAATCGAATTAATCGAAATCGAATCTTAAATCACAATCTGGTAGATGCCGAATCGATGAGGTTAGAAGAGCTGTTGAATCGATAATAAAGCGATAACAGTTGGATGGATTCGAATGCGAGGTGTTTAAAATGGAATCGATTCCGGAGCAGGCGCACCAAACCCCCGGGAAGTGAATGGAGCTCGCGCCACGTCACCCGGGCGCGCCCGGCCCCCCGCCCCCCCGCCACTCACGCGCGCTCGCGCCATTGGCGGGAAAAGTCTCGGCCGCCGCCCCCGCGCGTCACGTGCCCCACGCCTTCTCCAATCACGGACCGGGAAATTCGGTTACGGGTGTGTTGGGAAGGGCGGTAAGTGGGGGGGGGGCGCGAGAGCGGAAGTGGCGTGACGTCAACCGGATGTGCGCTCGGTCATTTGGCAGACGGGAGCGTGTTGGTTTGATGGCAGTTTCCGTCGTCAGCGTTAAGTGAAATTAATTAAAGCGCCAACAATTATACAAGTTCGTAATTGGTGACCGCCGCTAGACGCTAGACGCGACCCCGCACGTGCACTCGCCATGGCCGAGACGACGGACATCGCGGAGTGGTTCCGCGGCATCCCCGTGGTGACGCGCTACTGGTTCGCGGGCTCCGTGCTCTTTCCACTGCTGGGCAGGTTCGGGCTGCTCGACCCGGCCACCCTGGTGCTGGACGCGACGCGCCTGTTCAGCCGCTTCCAGGTGACGAGGGGCGGGGGAGTGGGGAACCTCACCTTCCCTCAACCCGCCAAGCGCCCTTATAGGCTCGGGGGGTCACGACGTTGAAGCAAGGGGTGCTTACAGGACTTGTTGCGTCTACATTCCTCAAAACGCCGCTCACTGGACGGTGTGGTGAAGTATGGTCAAAGTGTGGGCGAAGAGGGCCCCCCCCCACCTTATGATGACCAGCACTTGCGTGGCGAGACCGCACTCATCCAACAGTGGAGTGACAAAAATGGTGCCTGTTGCTTATAAGTCTTGAGTGTGGCATCCCGGTGACTTGTGTCGTCTGCAACGTCAGGTGCTGTCGTGTTCAGGCATTTAGCAGCGTTACAGCCTAAGCATGGACATCTACAGCCATTAGCACAGTGGGGACCGTACAGCTGGAGTGGGTTATAGTGTTACAAGCCTATAGAACAGACTTACCGATAGAAAAGTAGCACAGTATTCTTGGTTCTTTCGGTAAAGTCACCACGTAGAAGGGAAACAATCAAATAATACAAATATTAAACAATAAAATTCTCACGACGTTTCGACTGCAACACAAGCAGTCGAAACGTCGTGAGAATTTTATTGTTTTATTATTTTATTGATTCCTTTCTACGCGACTTTACCGAAAGAACCAAGAATATGAATCCCTGCAGTCACGAAAGCTTTAAATCAAAAGTAGCACAGTGTTACCACTGGCCCTGTAGCGTGAGAACACTTAGCCTACAACCGGATTCGGCTGTTTCATGTGACCAGAGTACGATAGTCACTGTAGCCTGTGTTATTCCCTACAGCCAGAAGTTCAGCGGAAAGTACAGTATAAGCACGCTGTTGCTCAGAATGAGGATGCTCTTGCATAATAATTGGAGCACTTTGGCATACCTGTCAACCCCTTATCGGTGCCTTGCCTTATTACAGACCAATTCAGACCTTATTGGTAACCCAGTGACCATATACATCTCAAAGTTCATTCTACAAAGTCCCATCACAAGGGATATACCATGGACGTGAAAACTCAATTTCCCTGTACATTAATACAGGGTAAACCGCATGGGTTGACATGTGTGCTTTGGCCCCATTTACACAATCTGCATGCGATATAATTTACAGTCTGAGCGCATCCTGAGGATCCTACTAGCTACAAAAAAACCCAGAAGCGAAGTGTTCACTACAACGGGAGCACCCCTGTTGCCCGTATAATGTGCGTGCACAATGTGCTGGCGTTACGTCGTCATCACGGTTGTTTTGAGCCCCAAACGTGATTTTGTCTGTTCTTTACAGCCTAAGGAAAGCTGTTTCCCGTCACCAGAGGACAACGTGTGTTGCCACAACTATTACTTGGCGAACCCTGTTCGCTGAACAGTCTATTCTTAACAGCCTTGAGCACCGTGGTATCTACATCCTGGACATAATTATAATTTACACTTCTAAATTAACCTTTTGACCCTGGAGGTCGCTGTATAAATCAAAAAACAATTTAATGTATTTCGGAAAAAACACTGTAAAAACCCTAATAAAATCGCACTGGCTCGTAATAAAACACCTCACTAACTAAAACCCCGTAGATAATAAATATTGAGGTGAAGAGAGAGGCCTTAGACAACTGAGGCGGGTTTTGAATAAGCCGAGAGACTGGCGGAAAAGGCCCCGGTCGCCCATCGAACAGAAGTTTTGATCTCGGCACGCACACCAGCAGGTCGGAACCGGAAGACGACCGGAGGACTCATTTTGGAGCGTAGGAGTGAGTCACGAATATATTCGATGGAGTGGCATTATTGAAGGCCTTCTAAGCAAGGAGGACTGTTTCCTACATACGGCACTGAGCACAGTCCACCGTTTCCTATAACCTAATTTGTTCCCTTTTTTAGTCTAAGCAGCCGACAATCTGATAATTATTTAGCCGACAAACTGAATGTGCTGTTCCTGTAGTCTTGAGGATGCTGTTCCATACAGGCTGATCATATTGTTGCAAACATCTTGCCGTTGCCTATCGGGGTCGAACAGCGGCAAACTGTCCAGGAATTTTGATTTAAAGCTTTCGTCCAGGAATTGCCTGGAGTCTACCATTGCCTGCAGGGATGGAGCAGTGGTGCAGTTGTTAGCACACTGCGCTGTGAATCCTGCAACTTTGTTGATTCTTGGCTATGGCTAACATCTGAACCGGTCTTGAGCTGCCCTACTGCATCAACTTAAAATTGGTCAGTGTGGTTATTAAGTCTGGTCAAACGGCCTCCGTGACCAACACAGCATGGAGAGAGGCCTTCTTCATCATGCAGTGGATTTATATAGGGCTGAATATATATGTGGAGCATTAACTAGAGTCTGTACGTGCTATAGTCTGAGGATGTTGCTGAACCAGAGCAGTCTGTTTTTTCCCAATCCTGGCCATGCTGTTCTCTGTAGTTTGAGTACTTTGTCCCCTTGTGTCTATAGAATACTGTTATCTACAGCCTGAGCACTTGCTTCTGCAAAGCCTGAACATGTTTTTCTCCCCAGCCAGAGGCGCAGTTTTCCCTTCAGCCTATTTTGTCAGCCGATTCGTTCTTATCGGGATCCACTTTCGCCATTCCATGCACCCTGTATTCCATGCACCCTGTATTCAATGCACCCTGTATTCCATGCACCCTGTATTCCATGCACCTTGACCGCTGTGTCCAGGGCCGGATTCATGTTCATGTAGGCCCTAGGCACTTCTGGTTCGCAGGCCTTAAGTGATAACGCTCTACAGTTGATACTGCTGCCCCATGTCACTAGTACCACCGCGGTCACTCCGCTTGTTTCACGCGGTACTTTTGTCCATTATTTAGTATGTGCCTTAATTCGATGGGAGTGCGCTGTGTGCTGCAGATAAGCAGAATTAATTTGAAATAAAAAAACAGGGTAAGCCTGAAAATATTTTAAGTGAAAATGTCTTCTATTTTAACATGAATATATTGGATGTTCTGACAGGACGACTGCATGGCGAGCTCCATATTGCTTTACTTTCGTTTCAGCTTAAAGATTAGTTTGACAGTTATTTTAGGTGTAATATGGCTCACATCGAGTCCAACGACTTGTTGCCACAGCAAAGAAATTGCAACTTGTGGCCATGAATATATTTATTAAAGAAGATATCTGTTTTTTTGTCATACATACAAAAAAATAGTTTTCGTAAGCCCTTCAGTTTTTGTAGGCCCGAGGCATGGTGCCTACTGTGCCTATACTCTTTGGTTATTTTATACCTACGTGATTTTACCGAAAGAACCAAAGAGTATGGATTCCTGCAGTCGCGAAAGCTTCAAATCAAGATCCTACTGTGCCTATTGGATAATACAAACCTGCTGTGTCACTCCTGGGCTTTGTTCCCTGAGCCACATTAATCTTGTTCTACATGTTTTCCTCCTACTCCTGGTGCTCAGGTTATCACTTAAAGTCACAGGGAAAGGGTTTGAGCAATTAAATGGCAAATACTGATTGAGTTGAATTTGTTTACTGAGGCTCGCTGTAAAGGAGACTTGCGTGTGCCGCTCTTGTGTTTCAGATCTGGAGGCCCATCACGGCAACACTCTTCTTCCCACTGACACCGCAGACGGGATTCCACTTTCTCATTCACCTCTACTTCCTGTACTCCTATTCCACACGCCTCGAGACTGGTGAGGAGCTTCGTTTAAGGGCAACTGGCTCATGAATAATGTTACAGAACACGGTACAAAATATGCTTGGCTGGAAAATGCATAATACAAGGTAAAGCTGGGTAGCAAATTCTGCAGATACGCTTGCCAACATTGAATGCTGATCATGTTTTTCCTAAAATATAAAAATTCTGGGGAGCACACTTATGGATTGAAAGAAGGGACTGTAAGTAAATTATTTCATAGTTACATATGAAGTTGTAAACATGATAACTGAACTAAGGCATGATAGATTAAACTTTATGTATTTTTTTAAACTGGTTCACATGTGTCTCTTGTAAAGCTACTTGATTTAGACATGACAGGGTGTCTCAGGGGATCAGAGCACTGAGCCTGCACCTCTGAGATCCTGGGTTCAAATTCGGGCAGCTTTCTTAATTTAAACTGGTTCTCAAATGTAATGAGGTGATTTCTTAGGCTGGTCACCAATTCACAAAAACCATCAACTTAAATTTGTAACTTCATTTGGCTATATTCTAGCGCAGAGAATGATAAACAGTCGTTTGACTCTCAAACGTCAAACATTGTTCTCTGCAGCAGGGCTGGTGAAAAAGCAGTGCCCACTTCTTTGTGGACCAGAGTTAACACGAGGGGATCTCAAGGTCGCTGGGATATCCACTTGTGTTGATCATTTTTCTTAATGAAGGGTTGCCACACTGCGAGAGATCTTAATGGATACTTTGTCTCATTATATGATGCCGATATCACCATCCAGATAAACTATTCAGAAAAAGGTTAAACTAAATAAATAATGCACAAATCGTACAGGACACGGTGCGCATGTTGCTGAACAATTTATGAGCTCTGTGCCTGATAGTGGAGTGTGGATGAATTCATGTTTTAAGAGGTACATTTGAGCGTAACTTTGAGTGAAAAAAATAATTGTAACGGTCACCTTTACTAGAGTGATCTTGTATACTTTTATGTTTAGAAAATGTGTGGTTTTTTTCACAGGTGTTTTTGATGGACGGCCAGCAGACTACCTGTTTCTGGTTCTCTTCAACTGGATTTGTATCACTGTATCCTTCGTTGCGTGTTTGTCTATTTGAATCATGATTTTTGGGTGAATTTTTACCGATTAATAGGTTTCTGTTTGGTAGCTTAGTACGGGTGACTCCACAAAGGACTTAGCACTTTTTGCGTTCGTGAACATTTTATGTTAACTTTGGGAAAATTTCGCTGAATTCCTCAGCTCATCAACTTTCAGAGGCTACAATGAGTTGAGCGTAGTTCAGACTTGGATGAGAGACTGTCTAGGAATGCCAGGTGTTCTTGACGAGTTGTGATGGCAAAGCGATGGATTCTTGAATCCCTTTGTGTGGCGTTTTGAGTGTTAACTGCTTGTATGGTTGAATTTGTTTTATAAGTACGCTAGTTTACTCCCACATGCATTATTCTCATAAATGTATTAGGTCAAACATCGTCATGTAGCAGGAACTTCAAAAATAATATTAAGGAGATGTGGCTTTTTTGGATAAATAAAAGAATGTCAGAGTAATTATTACATTTCAGGAAGCACTAGGTTTGTTAATCACACCTTGACTATGTTGCCAGATTGTTGGGATTATCGTCGACATGCCAGTAAGTATTTGTGCTCAATAAATATGTTTAATATCGTTAAAAGACAAGAAACGAATTGAACAAAATGTGATAGTTTAGCCCTAGGGAATATTTATTCCTCAGTTTACTTGTTTTCAGGAAAAGCAGGTATCCGCTTCATTTCATTTTTTATTCACTCTGCATGAGTTTGCAATACGTTCATTTAGGTTTGTTTCAAACCACAAGCGACAATCAACATGACGCTTCCCTGCTGTGTTAGAGTTTAATTTGAAAATGGATAAACATTACATCTTGATTAAAGTTCCTGACTCACGACACTTTGAAAGTGTTTACGCTCGCTGGTATTTGTTCGGCTTGCAGTGAATATTCTCACGTGGGGGTTAACAGCTTAGGAAAATGATGTGCAATTGGTGCTTAAATGCAACTTCGTCACAAAGCACTTCTGATAATGCATAGAAATTAAAAGTTATCAACAGGATGATGGTGACAAATGTGAGATTTGACCAAAGAGCAATGGAGACTTCAGAGGGAACAGCAACAACCTCGTGCACTATTCACAGAAGCGCTAGAACCACGTGCGGCCAAAAACACCAAAGAATCCCCAGGAAAAGTCCAGTACACAAAGGAGATCAAGAAGTCGATCCCAGTCTACATCGCAAAGTAAACTGTCCCGCCACCAGCCACAGTCAAGCCAGTCATTCCACTCATCCCACCTAGTCTTGCAGATTTCAAAAAGTCCCCCGCGCATCGTCATAGCACGGCCACGGTGGTCCATAAATAAATCCAGGCGCCAACAAAGCATGGTCCCAGTGAGCATTGAGAAAGTCATGGAATCACTACGCTAGACCACAACGGTGGCAAGGAGGGTAGAGAGGTGAAAGGGAACATCGGGCAGAGGTTAAGAGCCTCAGGAAAGGAAACAATATAATTACAAAGGGGTAGAAGGGAAAGACTTTGGACCAAGCAATGGTGTATTTCAAGGATTCACAAACTTCCATTGCACACAATTGAACAGGATCAAGACAGCAGGTGTGCCCAAAAACCTGTCGTTCACATCTCAGGTTTATGGTTTCAAGCTTTTGGCAAGTACTGTAATGATGTGAATTTTTGGGGCTGACTTTGTGTGCTGCTGCTCTGTGTCCAGCTGCTGATGATCCCGCTCATCATCTCGGTGCTGTACGTGTGGGCCCAACTTAATCGTGACCAGATCGTCACCTTTTGGTTTGGCACCACCTTTAAAGTAAGCAACATCACGGAAGGCATTCTGTCTGTGTCCAAACTGCATTTTTCTCACTTTGTTGAAGGCAAGGGAAATTGAGTTTGGGGGAGGGGGGTGGGGTATGCGCACAGGCACAGATATGGATGCTTTATGTTCACGTTTTTATTTAAAATATACAGGAATTCCTCATTTAACGCGGAAAAGTTCCGTGTGAAGCGAAAATAATTTCCCAATAAATAATTTAAAAGGTGGGGGGTTGCGTTCCGGGCCATGGTTTTATAAGGGTAATTACTTTTTTTAAATATGCGATGTGTGTGAGGGAGAGGGTGGATAGAGACATGTCACAATTATTACTCTTATGAAAATAAAAAAACTACAAATGCAACAATTTCACTTGCCCAGAAATCCCACATCGCTCGGCCGTGCAGCTCAGAAAGCAGCTTGTCATCGACTGCTCAGAAGCCGCGGTTGAGCGGGTGCGTTCCTCGTTCCGCGAATAGCGTTTCTGAATAGAAGAACGGTGTTCTAGCGAGGAAATGCATTGTGTGAAAGTGCGTGAAGCGAGGACTTACTGTTGTTGTCGCCCTGTTTCGTTTCCTAACTTTTCAGGCCTGCTACCTTCCCTGGGTCATCATGGGCTTCAACTTCATCCTGCGTGGATCGTGAGTACTTTCGGTCTCGGCGGGAAAAACAAATGCAAGCCTCACGTCTCGCAGATATTCGCAGAGCCAAAGCAGATCACGGACCACAGACTCCGTTGTAAAAATCAATGTCGGTAGCCTAATTCATTAGTCTGTACTTTGAAGATCGCACGCTGGTAGCTGCCAACAAGGTTAATAAATGAGTTAATTGACGGTTTAACCACAGTTTATGTAAAAATTCAAGCCTGAAGTGTACATTCGAAAGCTAAGAAAGAAGGTTATGGATTTTGATTTAAAGCTTTTGTGACTGCAGGGATTCATATTCTTGGTTCTTTCGGTAAAGTCACGTAGAAGGGAAACAATAAAATAATAAAAATATAAAACAATAAAATTCTCACGGCGTTTCGACTGCAACACAAGCAGTCATCATCAGGTGTGAAAACGTCGTGATAATTTTATTGTTTTATATTTGTATTATTTTATTGTTTCCCTTCTACGTGACTTTACCGAAAGAACCAAGAATAAGGTTATGGATGTTGTTTAATAAAGTAGGGTGGGTGCCGGTTGCTTCCAGATATATCTGCGGTGGTGCAGCCTTCCCCACTGTTCGTACCGCCCTCCTGTCCCCTAGGGTGATGAATGAGCTAATCGGGATCTTCGTGGGACACCTCTACTTCTTCCTCATGTTCAAGTACCCTCAAGACTTTGGTGGGCATACGCTCATCTCCACCCCATCCATCCTGTAAGTGGCTTTGCACAACATGTCTGTGACTTGAAATCTGTTCACTGTTATATTTTTTGTTATCACAGTTTCTGAGCAGAGCACCAAGATGCCAAATGTCCAGCAACAAACTACATCTGAGCTATAGTCTGACAGTCATTTAGTTCTCCCTCGAGGGATAGCATTTATTTCACTACACCGGTCAATGTCGGATAGTGAAGGTGGGAGCATAGATGTAGGAGCACAGAAGTGCAGGACAACAACAGATTGTCTACACTGCCCATTGCTGAACACTGTATAGCCGGACGGCCTATAACTCATGTCCGTCATGATGAACACCCATCCAAGCATTATTTTACGCTCAACCATGCTTAGCTTCTGAGCAGGGTTAGCTAATGGCAAAATGAAATCTCTGGCACACCTTAACGTTTCTTTAATACACTTGGCCGTGTGTGCGTATGTCAATGTGTACATCCAGGTACCGGCTCTTACCGAGTCGCCGTGGCGGCATTGCCGGCTTTGGCGTTCCTCCGCCCAGCAGGAGACCACCAGACGACCAGGATGCCCCCCCGCAGGGAGGCTGGGGAGCATTTGGCCGTCACCGATGGGGGGATGGCCAGAGGCTGGGTGGGAACTAAAGGCTGGTACTGCTGCGTAGATGTTCGCAGTTGTGCTGTGTACAGCTCTTCGATGTGTATTCGGGTTGTTCCACGGTATTGTTCAGCGTGATGTTTGGACGTCACGATAATTGGGTTACAATCCGAAAACGCATCTGAGAGCCCAGGGCTGTTGTCGGCGACCGAGTGTACCCGTGTGCGCGCGTGTGCCTCCTCGGGCGTTTGCATGGCTGCATGAGCGTCTGGCCCCGGCTTGCACAGACAACAGCGACGCAAAAGAGAACTGGTCCATCCGGAGCACGTGACTTTAGCTGTCGCACTCGTGAACCTGCTCAGTTGTGCCACCTGTCATCACGGGATGGAAACTGTTGGGCCTTGTGCAAACATGGGCTCTGTGCATATGCCTGCATCTATGCGCGTGCATCTATGCGCGTGCATCTGTGCGCGTGCATCTGTGCGCGTGCATCTGTGCGCGTGCATCTGTGCGCGTGCATGAGTGCGCGTGCATGAGTGCGCGTGCATGAGTGCGCGTGCATGAGTGCGCGTGCATGAGTGCGCGTATGGTAATTTGGCGAGCCTCTCATTCATGGCATAAGAGACACAATTTTTCTTTGTTTTTATTATTGTACATTAATGCAACGTTCGTGAAAAAAAGTGATCCCAGTGTAAAAAGTAAAACGATATTTAAGTCTTACTTCCTGGATTTATTTTAAATAATGCTCATAAAAAGCTGTGCAGTGACACATTGATACAAGAAACATAAACAAGGAACAACATACGGGCTTATTTCTATTGCTTTGAAATCGTCAATAAACACATTGAGCTAAAAGCCTCCTTTTAATTGTGTAGTGCGTACGTGCAGCTTAGATTGGCAAGTTATTTCGGTTTGATCGTTGGGTTTAAAATACAATGCTTAGAAAGTTTTGTGATTTAACGGTGAAAATATCTGTGAAATGTCCAGTAGGTGTTTCAAAATAACTGAGAAGCAATTTGGTTGTTCCCTCTGTTAAGGTTGACTTTTCGCTGACAATATCTCCTTTAGTGGCTTATCACAGTACTTACGTGCTGTTTGGATGGGTTATAAAAAACAAATAATGCTTTCATAGGCACCAAAATCATTTGCAAGAACACAAGAAAGTAAAATATTTTTGGAAATTCACGTGGCTTTTATTTTCACTGCTGTTCAATGCTTTCATAGTCATGCATGTTATTACCGTTTCTTTTGACAAGCATAAACTTGTGAAGGATGAAAACATGAAATTTAAATTAATCGTATTAAGCTAGGTCAACCACAAGGGTCTGTTAATTTATTTATTTTAAGATTACAGATTACTGTACATCATAGCCTTTGGCCAATCTAGGTTCCCCTGGCACATAGGTTAGGATAGGATTTGTGGCATGAATTCATGTCATATCCACGTGTACCTTAATTGTTACAGCATTTCTGGTGGTTGGTGCTTGTGTGCACTTTGCCATGCTTTCACCAGGTCCTTGTCCGTTGGATGTCACTGATAATTGAATGTTGCGACTATCCTGGTAAATTAATTAACATTAGCTCATGCATCTCATAACCATGATTCCATGATAAAAAAAAGTAACATTTCGGGTTCAATCCGTAACACAGGGTGTTGAAAGACTTCTGTTTTTAAATGGAACATTCTCACGACTTGACTGCACAATTGGAATATAATTTGGAGAAAGATTTGCAACATGCTCTAGAAAACATTCATAACTGACCCTATCACCTTCATCGTTAACACTGAGTTATGGCAGCCTGCCATATATTTTTTACACGTTACAGCAGTGTTAATGATGTGCGTCCATCCGTCCATACTTCACATGTTTTTTTTATAACTTGTGAAAAATGCACAGGTAATCCGAATCCTTTGATACAAGCCACACATGCCAAATACTATTTCTCAGTATGGTTTTAGTTTTTGGCCAAAGTCCACATCAAAATCCTTTAAAAAAAATTCGTTATTGTACAAAAAAAGTTATTCTCATGTACCATGTGCAAAATACTACGTGCATTAGAACGCGTATGCATTAGGTGTGTAACAGTGCGTCAATTCGTCTATTAAAATTGATTCTTGGTTTCCTGATACACGCATTGAATTGTGTAAGAACCGATTATTATTTGTGTATGTTTTATGTCATTTGTTAATGTAGCTCCCTGTGGCTACTAGAGGCAGCACATTCACCACTTTGATAACAATTTACATAAAGTTTAACACGTAGGCTTTCGCGACCAATATCCAGAGGTTTTTTTAGTTTAGATTTAACAAAAAAAACCTCTGAATTTACATAAAGTCGAATTGAATTGCCACGGAGTGAATTGTCACTTGTCTTGTATGCACGGGTATGAAATGTGTGCCCTCACATCCCCGTGTGTCAATTTCCTTACGCAATTTTCTACTTTTGAATCTGCGAGAGAGAAAAAACACAGACTCTCAATGGACTGACTGACTTTGCTCGCTTTGGTAGAAGTAAAATGCCGATGAAGTCCCTTATTTTTTTTAGGTCGCCCTTACAAAATACTTTAGTGGGCTGTCGTCGGGTAGTTCAATAAAGGCGGAGTGAAAGCACGGTTTTTTAAAAAAAAAGTAGACGCAGAAATATCAAGGCAATATTTATTTAATGTTGTATTGTAGCTGTTGCCAGAAAACGAATAAATAAGTAATTTGGGGTGCAAGTACCTGCTATTTTACATGCATTATTATGAAGTGGAGAACATCATTTATTTATCCATGAGAGCCCCAAGACCATTTCTGGAGCCATCCTGGTTTTGGGATGTTAGCCCATTTAATTTTTAAAGAGTATATATTTTACATGTGATAAACCAGAGTATGCAGACAAAATCTACCATGCATACGTGGGGATGACACTAAGTAAGGGCTTAAGGGCTACACGGCTTTTATTCACGAACCCTGAATTTTGTACGACCATCTGTCCGGTTTGCTTCGGGAGTTTTACAAATATGCATCATCTTCCAAAATGCTGGATCCACATTGGATGTGCCACCACGCCTGGTTATTCAATAGTTGATGTGGTTGGGTTGGCGTGGTCCCAGTCACCTTCCATTGGTGATGTATCCCACCTCCGATCAGCACGGTGGGCTACGTAACATGCGAAATTAGTTCAACATACCCCTGTGGCCACACGGGACCCGCTCTTGTGACCATGCATAGCCGGCAGCGACTGCAATGGGGGTCGTGACCACAAGATGCCCCCATGGTGCATAGCTCCTTAAGCGCCACTTGTTCAATGATTGATGACGTTGATTATCCTTTCCACAGTAAGTTGGGCATCGTTTCGTCTGCGCCTCGCCTTTAATTATTTATACCTTCCTATTTTATTTACATCTTAGTGCGGCCGATGTCTCCTCAAACTGCCGGCAGCTTAGCGGCGGGCGGGATGTTAATTTAGTTTTCTTTGTAGAGTACAGTCGGTGTGTATTTGAGAATTGCTTATTATGCTACAAAGGCAGGTTGCAGATAAGAGCTGTAGTGTATTTCTTTCTGAAACAAGGCCAATTGCAGCTAAATAAAAAAGGGGATGCGTGTCATTGTACAAGTCGACCCAACCTGCGTGTAATTGGGAAGTGTTCCGTAACAGCTTCGACTTCCGTCGTGATGGGTAAAGCCACTTCCTCTGCAGAGAAGTTACATCGGGTCGCATAAAAGTAGCCACTTCAGACAAGTTGATTCCCGTCGTAGGCCCGGTTTGTGCATGAAAGACGGTGGCATGTGTGGGAAGCTCTTTGCCAGTCCATTGCTGGATGAGGTCCCCCATCCTGTGCTGATCGTCGGGGCTGTTTGACCATACATCACACTTTCACTCTGGTCCGCCTGCGTTAATGTAGGCAGGGTGCCCAGACAATAGTGCAACGATTGATTATTCTGCACTGTCCCTCTGCTGAACAACGTAGCCCCGCATCAGCCGACAAACACATGATTATATGCATGGCAATCGCCCATCCAAGCACTCTGCCGGGTAAAAACCGATTTAGCTTGTGAGTTGATTCCGTCATAGGCGTATAAACGTGGTATCCTAGCCTGCCCCCCCTCCTCCCTCTCTTTAATATGTAATTAGCGTGAAAGCAAGTGGGATGGATATACCAATCAGTAATGCGCGTTAAATTCGGTGATCCGTGACACGTGATTTTCTAAAAGGGTAAACTGCATGGGAGGCAGAAACGCACGGAACGTGCAAAGGGTGAGAGGGGTGGTTGTGCACCTTTATACAACGCACGACCAAAGCTGCACATTCGACGAGGCGATGACCTTACAATTGAAGTATCGATGTGTGTGGTGGTTTTTTTTGGAGGGGGGGTTGTAAGTTGTTAACTTTGATGGTGTTTCCTTACTCTGAATCCTGTAGTTGGCACTCACTCGAGTTGTGTGCGTTCATAAAATATACGGATGTGATCGATTGTTTAATCTATTAATAAGGATACGTCTCCTTTCTCACAAAACGTTAGATAATTCTGCGCGCGCGTGTAGGAATTGATCATTTGGTTCCAATATGTTCCAGTTTGGATGTTTTTGATGGTGTAATAGTGAGAACATACAATCCACAATCCAGAGGGAGCACGTCAATTTAAACCATAGGCACTTTTCTTAATCCCCACCTCTGTCCACCCAGCAGTATAAATGGGTGGTGCACCACCCATTTATACTGCACCACCCATTACGGCGCTACGAACCCGGCGACCCAAGTTCGATTCCCGCTCGCGGCCACCAACACCCTGACGATTATCTGCACCGGTCCTGGGCCCCCCCCTAGGTCGACTCGGCCTCAAATGAGTGCCTGGTGCGGTGCGTAAACACCGCCACGGGCGTGGTATTGGTCATCCACCCCATCGTGTGCCGTGCCGGCCTTCATAGGTGCTACTCGCTAACAGCACTTTCCCCAGCAGTCTGTTAAGACTATACGGGAAGATCTTTGTCTTTGTACTCCCACCTCTTCCCAAGCGTCTGGTCAGCGTGTAAGAGTTGGATAACTCGAGCCCTTCTAGAGCCCCTCTAGTGGAATCACTTCTGACAGCAGTGGCGGGAGCAAGCGAATGCAGGGCTGCATCTTTGCCTTATTAACTTTGTTGTTTGCAATGCATGGACACTCGAGGCCCATACTATCACCATAATGTTATACTGTTAGTGGAGTCATTATTGTGACCATTCGCAACATGTGCCACTTATTACACCTTTAGTAAAAGCTGCATTTTTAGATTGTCAACCAAAATTCAATTGTAAATTTAACCATAACTTAAAAAATACAGTCATGAACAGACATTTTAATATATTTATAACAATTATACTGGTTTTTCACGCCTCTATTTTGGTAAAAAATAATGTGTCGACATGCAATCGTCTGCTTAATTAAGGTAGTCTTAATTAAATGTACGGGAAAGAGTGAGCACTTATTTGCATTGTAAAATCCTGGAAAAAATCCGGGGCAAGAATAACGGAGATTAATGATGAAACTGTCAAACCGAGCACGCTTAATTATTTAATCGCTTGGGCACTGCGTTGGGCGTGTTAAGTTATTTGTAAAAGCCACTGGTGGTTGCTTTTGCTCATCGTCTTGAACTCTGATGGTGCGCCATCCACTCGTCCTTATAAACGACACAACAATAACAGAGCACGTCTGACACCCCACGGAGGAACGACTTACAACCATGGGGCTTCGCGCGGGAATTCCTGTCACTTTGATTTAACGGGAATTATCGTGTAAAATAAATGCATAATTGGGTTAAAAGTGTGCATCTGCTGTTTTGGAGCGAGTGAGGATTATTATTTTCCGCACGCGAAGTCATAATGGCGTGCCAGTCCTCGTGTGTTTTTAAATGCTCAGCGAAATCACACAAATTGTATCCACTACAACCGCAGCATCATCTTCAGCTGTGGTCTTATCCACTGCTCGACGCAGGCCTCTCCGAGCCGTCGTCAAATGTCGCGGTCTCGCGATGCGACAGTCCGCCTGGCTCTGCACACGAGGCGGTACGCATCCCGTTGGATTGTGCGACCTCTTCGGTTGACACTCCGCCTCTGGTCCACCTTTGCACATCACCGCACGTACGTGTGTGTATGTATGTTGAACTTCTTTCGCACCGTACGTAGCCAACCCTGCTAATATACGCTGCACAAACTCGTTACGCACCGCGCCTTGGGTCATTATGGATAACATCAAATATATGATCAGAATTCCGTTCTGTCTCCACATATATACATAATACAATACAAGATCATTTGATCAATCGTAGAGGGTTTTTGGTTAGATCACGTAAATATAAATGTGTCGTTAAACCCGCCACCACCCGACACAGCCAATTAGTAAGGTTTGTCACGTAAAATAACCATGCTACATCGTTACGAGTGCAGCACACCGGTGGGTTGGAGAGTAAACTCACAACATTTACAATTGGAGTGCAACGTTTCGCCAGTAATTACAACTAGCTTCACCAGGCGACAGCCAGATCACATTAGTCCATCAGTCGATTGTCGATCAAGACCAGTTTTATCAAGCAACATTTGTGTCAAGCAAGCAATCTCTGGAGCAGTTTCAACATTCTCGATCTCACCAGCAGAGTCGAGTTTGTTTAAACAGCCTGTTAAACTCTGGGGAACTGTTAATGTATTTAAATGTGAGGCCAGGATGGAGTTCTGCAATGCATGGCTTAAACCGTACACACACAGCGTATTGCCCGTGCACAGGTGCGCGTGCCTCAGTCCATGTGACTCTTTAGTTGCTGACAGGCCAAAGTCGAGTCGTTAATGAGGAGGCCGGGGTGACCCGTGACACGTTCACAGAGCATCGTGTGGCGAGGCGCCTATTTAACTCGCGCGCGATCGCATGCCGTGTCAACCCACGCGGTTTGACCCGTACAGCCGTTTCAATACGAGCAACAATAAAATTGGCTGTTTGTGTTTCTCCCTTGTGGTGGGACTTGGTGGGATGAACGTTGAGATTGTAAGGGGCGCGGGGGTGTGACCAATAAGGTTTGAATTGGTCTGTAATAAGTTTGGCACCGATAAGGGGTTGACAGGTATGAGATCGTCCGTTGACAAATCACAAACCCGGGAGGAGCGGTCCGGCATTTTTTTCAACGCTTTCCAGCTTGAGAACGAGGGCCTTCTGTGTTTGTTTCGTTGCGAGGAGCGTCGCTGTAGCTCGTAAATCTGTGAGCAAATATCAGCGAAATATTCGTGCAACGTTACGTGGTCGCGTAAGATTTTTTTTATTTTCTGGGTCCTCTGGTTTTTCCCTTCACAGTTGGAAGGATACGTTTATAGAGTACAGTATTTGACCGCTATAAATATCCACATGATAGTCACTTACTGTAGTTGAGCTATCATTTGTGGCCAGCTGGCTTCCGGAAAATAACGATGCAGCTCAGTGGGCCTTACCTGGTAAAAGTAAAAAAGAAGTTTAATTTTGGGGCCGTCCATAATGACGTCACGCACCTAGGGGGGGGGGGGGAGTCAGACATTTGTGACGATGTATGACGAGGGGGGGGGGGGGGTAAGAAATGTGACGTTACATCAAAATCCGCAACTTTAAATAATATAGACAACACGTTTCTACTTAATTAAATAGATTTTTTAATACATGTTTTCTCCTACAACATCAGAGTGCAGCGCCACATTAAATACGCACTACAATGACAATAGTTCAAAGCGATTTGAAGCATGTTTTATTTTTTTTGGGGGGGAGGGGGGGCAGAGCTTTGTGACGTCATATTGAGGGGGGGGGTCAAAAATCGTCCAAAATTGCGTGACGTCATTTATGGATGGCCCCTTAGACATCCATACATGTGCATTCTTTTGTATTACCTGTTTGAAAGTGGACTTACCGGTGAGACACGTGCTCTGTTATCGTTTTACGACGCATTAATCATTAGCGTCCGTGTAGAACTCTCAGGTGTGCGCCGCGCGCACTGCGCAGCGGGCGAAGTCGCCTCTCGAACGGAAATGTTCTTACCCCGTACACACAGAGAGGGGGGAGGCGCACGTTGAACTTCTTTCGCACCGTACGTAGCCCAACGTGCTAATCGGAGGTGCGTGGGGGGGGACAACAAACTGAAACGCACCGACAAGCAGTTCTAAATAAATGAGTTTTCAATCGAGATGATTTAAAAAGTGCGTAAGGTCTCAGTGGTTTCCTAATATCGGAAGGAAGAACGTTCCAGACGGCCGCAGAGATAGCGACGCTGTGACCGCCGCCTCCGTTCGATTTGTTCGCCAAAAGCCGCTCGGCGAGCATGACCGGTGGTCGCGTGATGGTGCGGGGAGCGGTGGCCTCGTGGTTAGCGCAACAACGCCACGGAATGAATGGCGGGTTGACCCGAGTTCGATTCCCAGCCACGGCTAACATCAGCGCGAATGATAACAGAACCGGTTCTGGGTCTTCCCCCGAGGGCGAGTCCATCCTCAAAATGGGTACCCGATGCGGTGTGTGAATATCAACACGGGGGGGGGGAGAGACAAAGGCGGTCGGGCGTGGTTCACCAACCAATACACAAGCCTTGTTGCACCGTGCGGGCTTTGATAAGATGCACTCGCTAACAGCAACTTAGCCGCCTTGGGCAGCCTGTTGGAGGCTGGAGGAGGGGTGTGGTGCTGTTTGTCTTCGTTGGTGTTTGATGGCAGGCGGCAGAGGGGGACGGGAGGGTTGACTGCAGCAGGCGACAGGGCTTTGAGCCCCCCCCCTCTCCGACAACCCCCTCCTGCTAATGACTCAGCGCCCCCCCCCCCCCCCCCCCCTTGATATATCCGTAGTCGATATCGGGACAATAACACCAGTTATATGGCAGTATTTATTTAGCTTGGAGATTCACACTTGCGTTTAACGTTTGTTTAACACTTGTTTGACGTTGACCGTGACCCCCCCCCCCCATATATATTTTTATATCCCCCCCCCCCCCATTAAGCAAACTCGTGCTGCAGGGCTGCTTGAAGGGAGTCGGAAGTAGGCTGACAAGGTGGGGGGTGGTGGTGGCGACAGGGATCGGAGAGAGGGACAGAGAAGTGAATGAATGGTTGGATTGCGTGGGTGGAGTGATGGGTTGGGTAGGAAGAGAAGGAGGAGGCAGTCACTATAGGGGAGGGAGGGAGAGTGGATTGTTGGGTGAATGGGTGGGTAGAGAGAGCCGGGCGGTGTGGGTTGGGTCGGTGAGTGGCTGGAGCGGCGGGGGGGGGGGGAGAGAACGCGAATGAAAGAATGTGCACACGCACGCACGCGGAGCGCACCAAACACGCGCGGTCACATGACGGTGGCGCGCCGATGGGAGACGCCCGTGGTTAGGAAGTCTGCGCAGCGAGGGGTCGTGCGCTCCACGGAGCAGCAGCAGCAGCGGCAGCAGCAGCAGCGTGCTGGCCAGACTCGGATAAGGAGGCAGCTCACAAGCAGGAGGGCACGGCAGGGCAAGGGCAGCGGTCTCTCTCTCCGTCATGGCGACTTGCGGTGTCGGCGTGGCGCCGAGGAGCGAGTTGCTGGAGGTGCTCGGGCGCGGAGGGCGCTGGGGCCGCGTGCGCGTGACGCTCTCCCGGGACGCGCTCACGCTCTCGGGCCCCGACGAAGCGACGGCCCTCGTCAACGGCACCGCCAACGGGGGAGGCGGCACGCCGCCGGTCCCCTCGCCGACGCCGCTTTCGGGGGGGTTGTCCAACGGGATTCGGAGCCCCAACCTGAGCCCCAGCCTTAGCCCGAGCCCAGGAGCGGTCGCGTTGGGCTGCGTCGGCGAGCCGCCCACGGAGCAGAAGCGCCTCGTGCGCGTGGTGAAGCGAGAGTCGGGCGGCTTGGGGATCAGCATCAAGGGCGGTCGCGAGAACAAAATGCCCGTGGTCATCTCGAAGATCTTCCCGGGTCTCGCGGCCGAGCAGACGGGAGCTCTGCACGTGGGGGACGCGATCCTGGCGGTGAACGGAGCGGACCTGAGGGAGGCGACTCATGATCGCGCGGTGCAGGCGCTCAAGACGGCCGGCAGAGACGTGCTGCTGGAAGGTGCGGCGGAGAGCGATGGGGATGGGAGTTTGGTTGGTCGTGGTGGTGGTGGTGGCGGTGTTTGCCGGTCTTGTTTTTCTTGTTCGAATGAATACTCGCCATTAAACATCGCCGAGAAGTGGCGTTGATTCTTGGGGGGGGGGGAGGGGGGGTGGCTGGCGGTCGCTACAAGTTGTAGCCAACTTAGCGATGTTTCGTCGCTAGTTGTAAGCGACTTTTTTAATGTGTGTGTGTTCGCCCTAGCGGCTGTGTGTATATATTTTGTCAAAGCGATGAGTGGTGTCGGCACGTTAAGCGACTTTGGGGAGATTGATGGCAGATGTAAAGTTTGGGAGCGATTCCAGATTTTTGTGGCAAGTGTCTCAAGATTGTAATTACAGCACCAGCGCCGCATGGCGTTCTCTTACCGGGGTATGTATTTAGAATGTTGCGTCGGATTACGATGTTTTAATAGTGGCAAGTTGTCGCGTGACGTAATTCCAGGTAGTTGTATTACGTGTCCTGTTTAAGTTGACAGTGTGATAATGCAGTTTACGTACCGTGTGCTTGGCTGTCGAGTAACATTAATCCGTTCTGCATTACGCACCCTGTATAAATTCACCATACCTTTCAACCCATACGGAATTACCCCGTATTCTTGTACAGGGAAATTGAGTTTTCAGGTCCATACGGCGTACAGCCGTTTCAATACGGGCAAAAAATGTGTTTCTCTCTTGCGATGGGACTTTGTAGGATGGACGCTGAGATTTATAAGGGGCACGGGGTGACCAATAAGGTCTAAATTGGTCTGTAATAAGGTAGGGCACTGATAAGGGGTTGACAGGTATGGTTCGCTGTTAATACTTGGCCAAAGTGTCCGTGCCGTGCGTTGTAATCATTCCACCGGCCTGTCGGCTCTTCTCAACCCAACACCATCCAACATCATCCAGCGCAAGAATCTTGCTCAAGAAAAACAAAAGCGAACCTGTGACCGTTTTCGACCTCCTGAGGCGTCATCGGCAGAGCCGGGCCTTGTTAAAGCAAATGCCACTTGACGGGTTGGTTCTAGGCCGCCGTTGAATCGAAAGTTTAAAGTAATGAAAAAAAACCCACTGGCGCTGGGTGTGGTCAAAAAGTTTTGAGAGCTTCAAGATCTGACAAATGTTCTCTTGTAGGGCGACTTGTGATGGACGAGTCGCCGTGCTCTCAGCAATCACAATGCCTGCTTCTCTGCAAGTATAGGTTCGATTCCCCGGGTCATGCGTTTTTAAATATCAGTGGGAAGTTAAATATTCGAACCTGTCCCGTGGCTCTTATGCCATCGTGTACGTAGTTCCCTGTGTGTGTCTGAGTGTATTTATCTGTGTGTGCGCTTGGTGGGGAGCGGTAGTGTAGTGGTTAGAGCGCTGCGCTACGAAACCCGGCGACCCGAGTTCAATTCCCGCTCACGGCCAACACCGGTGACCATTATCTGAACCGGTCCCTGGGCATCCCCTAGGTCGACTCGGCCTCTAATGAGCAACTGGTGCGGTGTATAAACATAGCCATTAGGGAGACAAAGGCGGCCGAAGCGTGGTGCTGGCCCCCTACACCCCCCCGTGTGCCGTTCCGGCCTTCATAGGGTGCTCGCGAGAATCACTTTGCACTCAACCTTCCGTTAAGGCTATACGGGGGGGTTTTGTCCTTGTTTGGGGAGCGGTGGCGCAACGGTTAGCGCACTGCCAAGGTCAGCGTGAGTGGCACTGGGCCGCTGCTGGGTCGCCCCATGTGGCGTGTGAAGACGTCGGCAGTGGAGGTCCTCTGGCCGCAGCCAACACCTCTGTGTTGGCTCTGTGTTGGCTGCACCACGAGGGGCCCGCGGCTAGGTATGAAGAGAGTGGCGTGGCCGTGGTTGCGGACTCGGTGAGGAGTGGGTGGGTGGGGGGAGAGAGATCTGTGTGGCCAAGTGTTTCCTGTGTGGATGTAGGTGGGCGTTGTGTGTGTGCTCGGGTCTGTGTGTGTGTGTTCTTGGGTCTGTGTGTGTGTGTATTCTTGGGTCTGTGTGTTCTTGGGTCTGTGTGTGTGTGTTCTTGGGTCTGTGTGTGTGTTCTTGGGTCTGTGTGTGTGTGTTCTTGGGTCTGTGTGTGTGTTCTTGGGTCTGTGTGTGTGTGTTCTTGGGTCTGTGTGTGTGTGTGCTCGGGTCTGTGTGTGTGTGTGTGCTCGGGTCTGTGTGTGTGTGTGCTCGGGTCTGTGTGTGTGTGTGCTCGGTCTGTGTGTGTGTGTGTTCTTGGGTCTGTGTGTGTGTGTTCTTGGGTCTGTGTGTGTGTGTGTGTGTTCTTGGGTCTGTGTGTGTGTGTTCTTGGGTCTGTGTGTGTGTGTGTGTTCTTGGGTCTGTGTGTGTGTGTGTGTTCTTGGGTCTGTGTGTGTGTGTGTTCTTGGGTCTGTGTGTGTGTGTGTGTTCTTGGGTCTGTGTGTGTGTGTGTGTTCTTGGGTCTGTGTGTGTGTGTGTGTGTTCTTGGGTCTGTGTGTGTGTGTGTGTTCTTGGGTCTGTGTGTGTGTGTGTTCTTGGGTCTGTGTGTGTGTGTGTTCTTGGGTCTGTGTGTGTGTGTGTTCTTGGGTCTGTGTGTGTGTGTATTCTTGGGTCTGTGTGTGTGTGTGTATTCTTGGGTCTGTGTGTTCTTGGGTCTGTGTGTGTGTGTTCTTGGGTCTGTGTGTGTGTGTTCTTGGGTCTGTGTGTGTGTGTTCTTGGGTCTGTGTGTGTGTTCTTGGGTCTGTGTGTGTGCTTGGGTCCGTGTGTGTGTGTGCTCGGGTCTGTGTGTGTGTGTGTGTGCTCGGGTCTGTGTGTGTGTGTGCTCGGGTCTGTGTGTGTGTGTGTTCTTGGGTCCTGTGTTGTGTGTGTGTTCTTGGGTCTGTGTGTGTGTGTGTTCTTGGGTCTGTGTGTGTGTGTTGTTCTTGGGTCTGTGTGTGTTCTTGGGTCTGTTGTGTGGTGTTTCTTGGGTCTGTGTGTGTGTTCTTGGGTCTGTGTGTGTGTGTGTGTTCTTGGGTCTGTGTGTGTGTGTTCTTGGGTCTGTGTGTGTGTGTGTGTTCTTGGGTCTGTGTGTGTGTGTGTTCTTGGGTCTGTGTGTGTGTGTGTTCTTGGGTCTGTGTGTGTGTGTGTTCTTGGGTCTGTGTGTGTGTGTGTTCTTGGGTCTGTGTGTGTGTGTGTGTTCTTGGGTCTGTGTGTGTGTGTGTGTTCTTGGGTCTGTGTGTGTGTGTGTTCTTGGGTCTGTGTGTGTGTGTTCTTGGGTCTGTGTGTGTGTGTGTGTTCTTGGGTCTGGTGTGTGTGTGTGTTCTTGGGTCGTGTGTGTGTGTGTGTTCTTGGGTCTGTGTGTGTGTGTGTTCTTGGGTCTGTGTGTGTGTGTTCTTGGGTCTGTGCGTGTGTGTCTGCGCGTGTGTGTGTTCTTGAGTCTCTCTGTGTACTCGAGTCTGTGTGTGTTGAGCAGTTAAGCAATGCTTTGAGCACTTGCACTAAGACCCCGGGCAACCCGGGTTGAATTTCCTTCGGTGGCGTAGTGACGACATTATCAAGCTCAGGGGGTGGCGGCGATCGGTCAGGTGAGGCCCCAATATTTGATTTGTCTCGCACGGTCGCACCTAGAAGCTATTTCTACATCGCGGCTCCTCTTGCCCTAATCACATCGTCGTTACGCTCACGGTCTCGAACATTTAACGCTGTATGGGCGCTCCGTCTTCGCAAAATGACAGCCACTACAGCTCCATTGGTACCGCTTTGCAAGATTACGTTGCCGCCCTAACTAAATAAAAATGAAACGTCGAAACGTTAAATGAAAGACTTTTTGTACAAATAATTTTAAACAGTGTTTACAATTTTTTAAACCGTGTTTAAAAATGTTGCGTGTTTTTTACACTTTTGTTGATGGATGAAATCAATGGCGAGTGGTACCATTACTCTTCCTGAGCATACTCTTCAATCAGCACCTGATGTGCCGCGTGTGACCATCAGCACTGGGGAGACGAAGGCGGACAGGCGTGTTGGATATGCGGCGTTTTACTTGACATTTCTTTTTAAACATAATTTCTTCAGAACTGCTTTTCTGTGTTTAGTTTGTTGTCCTTCCCCCGCACCCCTGATTAGCGCCTACGGAGTGGTAGAGCTTTCCAGACGGCCGCAGGAGCGCATCCGAAAGCGCGCGACACAGTGATGGTCTTTGCTCGATAGCCAGCCAGGAGTCGCTGCCGTAGCACTATGGGTGGATGGATCAATATGTGCTAGGAATAGTGAACTAACGCACACCAGGGGCATCTTGTCGACCGATTTGAAGTCGTTTTAGGGGGCCTTTTAGCTGCAAAAAATGGGCGATGGGACGGTCGCCAAAGTATTAGGAGAGAAAACGTGACCCGGGGGGGGGGGGCATGGGCAACGTAGAGACGGAGCGATGGGGTCGGCTCACGTGCAGCAGCGAGATGATGGATCCGTGGCATTGTGCTTTCCCTTATCTACTACTTCCCGATGATGAAAAGGCCTTTCGTCCAGCAGTGGATAGACACCGGTCGGGGGTGATATGTAAATGTGTAAATTATCGATGCCATCGGCAAACAGCGAAATGAATGAGCCGAGCTTTTACGATCGTGACCGACCTTTTCAAAACTTATCGTGGGCTTTTCAGAAGCCTCCCTTCGCGTTAAACACGGGAGCACATCGAGAATCCAGCTTGTTTTATTGTGTCACGATTACAATAGAACGGTTTTTAAAGTAAATAAGAATAAATCAAAGTGGTCAAGCAACTCGATTACATTATAGGACGCCGCTCATCTCACTCCCTTACAGCTCGAGCTCCGTTGTGGAAATCTTCACATTCCCTGGATGGGGCCCGAATTAGACATAGGCATCGCCTGCGAGTTGTGGAGAGGAGTTATTATTATATTGGAGTACGTCCATCGTGGAGAAGGAGCGGTGAGATCGGCTCGTGTGTCGGTGCCGGGCGGTTTGTCGCATCGTGGGACCGCGAGGGAATGGCGACGGCTTGAGGAGGCCTTCATCC